GGGTCGACTTGCATCTTGACTGTCGTTCGCCGGTGTCTGAGAGGATACTTCGGGAACGAATAACAGGTTGCTGCTGAGATTCTTCCTTGGCGAGGCTTCAGGTAGGTAATTTTATCAAGCAGGATGTCAAGGGGAAGTTTTTTTGCTCTTGATGGGTGATCTGGGGCTAGCTCTTAGTTTATCTGATTTCGATGACGTCACCATTTATTACTTCCTACCTCTACTTCGTACATAACTCGCCCAACTCTTCTGATCACTTGCGCTTCTGCCCAAGGAATATGGTTCGTTCTGTAGTCACAGGCAAACACAGGGCATCCCACTTCGTAAGCGGATTGTCTTTGCGGCTTTGTTTCTACTGATGTGAGTGCATTGGTCGGATGCATCAGGCAATGGATCGTTTTCAATCTTCTTCCTATCAGGATTTCAGCTGCGGACCTTTGCTCCGGTAACAATTCATTTGGTGTTGTTCGACAGACGTACAAGAGATTTCGTAATGCATCGAGTGGTGTCGTCTCCCGTTTTGACTTATCGAATTCATTTTTTAATAATAATAATAATAATAATAATAATAATAATTTATTCTCAAATAACAAACATGTTACAAGAGACATGCCAATTTACAGGCAAGGTCAAAATGTTAAGATAAGCTACATATTTTTTTCTGCAAACTGTATAAATTTACTGAAATATTTCACAAGATTCATTGTTTTCTTAAAGATGGAATGTACAAAGCGATCGATTGGCGCAAGTTACGAAGGTTGCGTTAAGACAATCATCTTATGGGCTGAGAAACGATTCATGGTACAGACAGGTTTTCATATAACAACAATTGATGCGGTAAATGTACAAAAGTCTGGTTGATATTCGTCAGCTAATGATTTCACATGTTCTTGGCTAGGGTAACCAAGTCTACTGCAAATATCCAGACTAATATATGTGGATTGGAATAAGGTTCTGAAAAAAGAGGAATAAAGTAAACGGGACGAGGAGCTGAACAGAAAATATTCTTGTTCAAAGCCGAACAACCGCTTCGCACATACGTTTATGGATAAAACAAAGGTATGTTTACCCAAACCTTTTTAATATCAGAACACTTTACACCTGCGCTTATGTAGGTTAATGAAGACAATTCAGTAGTGAGATAACTAATGAGAAGTTAGTTGAAAGAATCGAGGAAATTCAGAAGAACCAAGTTGTTAGTAATAATGTTGATTTACAAAATATAATAAAGAGGATCAGTGATATAATATTTTGGTTTTATTTATTCTTTTTATATTTTACTCTGATGCTCAAGAAGTTATGAATGAGCTCTTTTTTAGTATAGTTGTCCAGACCAGCTTGTAATAGGATTTCTCGGTAGGAAGTAAAAACCAGTGCAAGGTTACAGACATGGGTTGTAGACGAGGTTAACTAGGAAAAGTAACATCAATATCACTGATTTGTTACATCCTGCTATATCGTAAGGAGCCGTAAGCAAACAAAATGTTCTGCCACACGGACATGGGTAGATTGAGGTTATCGCCCCACCGCCATGAATGCTGGTCAGATACACCACCCTCCCTCCTTTTGTGATGTTAGGCTCTCTTACGTTTAATGGTTAGTTGTAAACAATGGTCTCTGGTCTACCCTCAATTTTTTTTGTGAACTTTATCGGAATTAACATTCTCTGCTAGCTCCATATTACAAGCAATCTGGACAACTTTGCCAGACAATATATCCACATAGCATATCACACTGATTTTAAGTAAACGAATGGTATGATTCGTAAGATGAGTCAATTAATAGGTAGTCTTGAAATAGGAAGGACAGGGAGCCGGAACGAGGAGAAAGAGAAAAAAAGTTGAAATAATGTTAAAAAATAATGAGTAAAGCGATAAGTTGGTAAGCAGGCAAGGTGTTTGGATATTAATGAATTGGGGAAATAAAAATTAGTTAAACTGATAATACTTAAATAAGAAGATACTCACAATGATACACGGTGTTTGAGTTCCTTGTAATTGACAGTAGTTGATCAGCATCTACAGGCTTTTCAATTTGTCTGTCTACTAGAAATAAAAACTAAAACTGCTTAAA